CAGCAACTCTCATAGAATGTGGTCGGATTTCGAGTTAGGACAGCGAGAACTGGTTATGGTTCCCGCTGACGTGTTCACGGGCACATGCACTCGGGCGATGTCTACGGGTTTAGGAGGGGATGGCGCTACTGGCATATCTAAAGGGAGACCTTGAGCTCCCTCACCTTCCTAATTTCCTAAAGGCCACACTAACGCTTTTTCATCGGGCGATGCTCGAGGACGTTCACGAAGCCCATTTCAACAAAACGCTCACTGCAGACCTCCCAGCTTCGGTCAACCTTAAGCATTCGGGTAACATCCCGCACGTCGAACTATTCCGGCTGATTTATATCGCCAATACTGATGGGAATATTGGGCTCGAGATGATGCGTTGCCTCCAACGAGACGTCAAGAGACTGGTGTACGATGGAGCTCATACTCTCAAGTTTGTATTTTACTCCAAGCGTGTAGCTGCAATCTGGGAAAAGCAGACTATCAGTTTTCAACGCGCGGTGATCACGTTGAGCGACACTTCCCGGTCCGAGATTGATCCACCCGACAGGTACTCCCTAGCCCAACTCCAACAAATGTACGCGATCCATGTGTACGGAGGAAGTGAACTCGGATTGGCCACTTTGGCACGAGCGTTGGCGGTGTGTGCTGAAACTGAGGTACTAGACGTCGAATATCCACGAGCGACCAAAACGGACATTTATGATAACCGGGTTCATGTAGTCAAGTTCAATGTCCTCAAGCTCTAAAGGACATCACCAAAGTTAAAGTCGGTGAAATCACTCTGACTCTTCATTGTTTCCAGACCAACTTACGGCTGCCATGTTCCAAATGCTATAGTGCGCGCCACGGAACGACGAGGTGCAAAATTGCTTCGAACAAGCTGCATAGTCTCCACACGATAAGACTCAGGGTCGGTGTCCAAGTTCAGCCGCGCACAATTATCCACATACTCGGTCCAGACTATCCCTGCTCTACTCAAAGTACTCAATGCCCAGCAGGCTGAGATGGGCGCAAGAAGCGATTGTGGGTTTGAAATCAACGAGCCAATTTCAACTGGTGTTCCACCAAACCAGGGACGAGGAGAGCAAGACAGACTAGGATGCACCACGGGCACCAATGCATACAGCCGCCGAGGCTGGATACACCGTGCACGTTTCAAAACGATCCAAGGCTCGAGGACACAAAAGTGATACCATGGGATATAAGCGCACGGAGAAACTGGACATTGAGGGCAACACCAGGATCTCAGACCGCTCCAAACTAGCTGTGAAGGCCAAGACAGTTCAATTTGCCGACTTCTAGCGCGCTGAAGCTTTGGGACATTATGGTACTCTCGCTGAAGCCGACAGTGATGACGATGCTGAGGACGCCGAGGATGGCGACTCAGGAACGGGACCTGCAGATGACGCAGAGGAGGACTTCCACATGGGCACACCGGATGAATTTGGAATAGCCCCCAACCTGCTTGCGCAGCCAGACCCCGAGGAGGAACCTGGTACAAATGATCCTGCACCTAGGGACTCAACGGTGGTTCCTCCTCCGCACCTGACCTCTCAAGCGACCCCACACAGTGGACAAGCGCTGACTCCCCCCACAGCTCTATGACAGTCAGTACCGGGACGGACACCACCCCAGCTTCTCCTGCTATAGTACAGACGACGTTGATTCCTTGTGTACTACGGCCGGAACAAGCTATTCAGCCACAGCAACCAGCCTTGGCAGTAGTGATGATGACGGGGACTACTGTATCATCCTATGTCCCAGCTTCACCAACCTCCCAAGAATCGTTCAAAATGGGTGTGGTCGACCGAGTACCGATTCGAGACGCGGTGCTCAACCGACCCACATTACTCAGTGGCTGGGGCGTTTTGAAGGATCTGAAGTCTCGGTGGCAGCCAACGGACAATGGGATTTCCTAGCGCTCTATGCAACGCTGTCCAACCATGGAACGAAGGTTTTGTCTATCAATACCAGCAATATGAAGCAGGCTTCGGAGATTTAAAAAGAGGTCTACACACTAATGTTAGACAACCTCCGCAATGATATTAAACTTCAGATCGTGGAACAGGTGTCGGAGTACCACCGCCTTTATCCTGCTCATCCCATCCACGACTCGGTTGAAGCTGCGACTGCAGCACTATTCGCTCACTACGCATAAGAACGAGAGCGTTCCACAGGAACAACAGTTCCTGCAATGTATTGGGCACACCCGCATGAGCTACGGGCGATGACCCAATACCTACGGGAACCAGTGCTAGTTTTGGATGTCAATTGCGCTGGAGATGCACACATGCAGCGGTACATGTACAAAGACTACCGCCTGTCGAATGGGGATGATCATGAAACTGGATACTACGAGGCGTACTCCGATACGGACGCCAGAGACTACTTACATGGATGCTGGTCACTTACTTCATGATACTAATGACCCATGAGAGCCATTTTACGGTGTTTCTCACGGAGAACTATTCGTCCGCTGGAGGGCAGAAGGAGACCCATCCTACGCGGCAGTCGTGCCGGACAGCTACGTGTGGAAAGATTCAATAAACGAACTCGGACCAGAGGACGGGGTCCCCATGGAGTCGATCAACAACCTATCAAACACGGATGATGTCAATCGTTTACTGGCCAAGCGCTTAGCTATACGGGAATGGTAAGATGTAGTACATGCACGACTGGGACTGCCATGCGGTTGGGTATGATGGCAATGCGGAACTGGAGGAGATTATACGTGATGAAGAACGGTTTATTCAGGAAGCGTATGAGCTGGACAAGATCGCGAGTGAGTCGCAGGAGATTCCGCGAGCTACTGATGAGATCACACTTCTGGACATATATGCGAGGTCATCATCAGGTGCCATCTCCGAGAATGCCTACTTTCGTTTACTGCGGGAACCGAACTCAACAGACATCTCTGCAGAAGACTAACCTCAGTACCACTTATTCCTCGCTGCGAATTCAGAAGCCTCCCAACGCTGGGTGGCATTGTATCAACAGCCTTTCGGCATCCCGGCGTCAAGACGGAAGGCGGGACCTCAGCCTTTTTATGAATGGTTCCTGGAGCATCCACTTTACGTACGCCATTTCTTTGCTTTCATTCCGTACCCAGAATTGGAGGCAAAACAATGGGCCTCGAAGGACTTGATCGCGTGGGGGCGACTGGACGTATATTACGAACAGGGGGCAGCACTTGGACGAATTTTGCAGCTTCCGTCTCTGACCGCATCCGCGCGGGATTTCTGCACAACTTGGCACACGGCAGCAACTCAGGGCCCAGTGGAGACCCGCCATACATTTGCGGCTAACGCTGCCCGCTGGAGTCGCATCCAAGTATGGGTAGACGAGAGTTTCGGCCGCACCAATACGTCTGGGATGGAGGAGATAGGATGGTTCTTCCTTCATGTGATCCCATACATTACGAGCACATGGGCTACGACACCAATGGGACGTTCACACCATGCCGCAAGAAGTGTATGGTACCAAGAATTTGGGTTCATAAGGGAAATCTGTCACAACGTTCTTGACTATGGCGACTGGAGCGGGTGTGTATACGTTCCTTCTGGTCAGACATGGGCTGAGCAGTGCTCTCCTGGCATTACAGGCTTATGTGTGCCCAAACGACACTAAGGGTCTCGCGGTCCTGATCAAGTCTGGGACGACGATGCCAACGTCAAAAACTCGTCCGCGTGTACTGACACGCAATTCGGCACCCACCAACGGGACGGCTTCCTGGTTTACGGATATTTCCAGGAAGGACCGAAACGCGGAGATCCGCCGTGACTTCGACAGACTGAGGGGGAAACAGGCAACATCCAGGAAACAAATGGAGCGAGCAGATTGTCAGTCAAGGGGCGGACATCTCCGTCGGGATGATAACACTTTCGGGCTAATGACACAGAACGTGCGGGGATATGGAGCCACAGTTGCAGCACACAGGGAATGGAACACGTACTTGGGCAGAGACACCTCGTACGGAAAAAGAGATCTGGTGCTGGTACAAGAGACATATGTTAGCGCAGCTGCGACTCCACCTGCCCAACGGGTACATGCTCAGCGCTGGGGTTTTAGAATGAGGCGTAGTTCTCCAATACTATCGTACTGGGGACCAGCGGGTCAACATTCTGGCGGAGTGGGGTTTCTAATAAATCCTTACGATCGATTTAAGGACGCGATTCCAACATAGGAGGAGCACTGGTCTTCTCGGTTCGTTGCCATTCCTGGGACCCTGGATGGACACCGATTCCTAGTGATCAACGTTTATGCTCCAACCGAGCCGAGTGCGCGAGAGGTTTTCTTCGGTCTGCTTCTTTAACTTCAGATCCCACAGGACGGCCTCATCATACTCGGCGGGGATTTCAACTGCGCGCTTAATGCGTCATAGGACCGGACTAATGGTGCGTACGTCTCCAGGTATGATTCCCCAATGCTGCGGGTACTGCTGGTACACTGGAAGTTTCACTGATGTTCTACAACCTTTACTGCCAAGACCGACAGATACGACCCGCCTAGCAGCTTTTCACGCGCAGCATCATAGGTTCCACTACACCTACAACGGAGTTGAAGCATCATCTCGACTCGACCGATGGTATGGTTCTGAGGGCGCGCTGCAATGGGTTGTAGGGACAGAAGTACAGCCGGCTCCGCACAGCGATCATGGAGGAGTTATACTTCATGTCCGATCACCGGACAACCCTCTTAGAGTGCTCAAGCCGCCTAATATATACCCGGTTTCAGTCCACAGTGCCAATCTAATGACTGCTGCAGTTAAGGGGCTCATAGACCGCCACATGGAGGAGATTGGGACAGGGGAACCGACCGCAGCGAAAGTTGCAGAGGCCTGGGACCTGCTGAAGAAAACCACTGCCCTGAGATGCAAACACTGTAAGCGAATAGCGGTCAGGAGGAAAGTAAAGACATATAGACAAAATATTAGGCGTTTGCTCAAGCTGTTGAAATCGGCGGTGGTCGGTTGGACTGAAGAGGCGGATCCCGTGGAAGATATCTCGATGCTATTTAAGGATCTCACATTGACAGACGCGGCACCGGCCACACGGATCACCCGCATCCGACGCGCCATAGCTCAGCCGCAGGCTGAGAGGGCAGCAAGTGCTACCCAATGTCGGTTCAGGGCAAACCATTGGCATTCTACTGCGGCTTCCAGGGCCCTTTTCCGTAGGGTGTCCGTTAAACTCGGTGATAACATCATCCCTAAGGTGGTTTCCCGGTCCCGGGTATCCTGCACGACCTGAACATGAGAAAGCCAATATTTTTGCTGATGCGTGGACTCCAGCGTTCTGTCGTCCTGGTGTAACGACAGAGCAGCGGACGTCATACCTGGAGGGAGGTAGCATGTCCAATGAAAGGGAGCGCTTACAAAGTCTCGACGTTTGTATTACAGAAGTAGAGGTGAAGGCGGCTATCAAGCGATGTAAGTCAGGCAAGGCGTGGATAGACTGGGGAATGATTTCTATCGGGATTTAGGGGATGATACCGGGGGGATACTGACCGGGCTATTCAATATCTGGTACGCTGCGGAAGTGTTCTCATCTTCTCTCTTGCAGACCGACATCTTCTGCCTCAAGAAAGCGGGCGACAGGACCAACCCCATGAACTACAGGCCTCTCGCTCTACTAAACTCGGACTACAAAATTTTCTCTAGAATTCTGGCGATTCGGACAAGTGGACACCTTCACCGTCTCATACACACCAATCAGTCTGGTTTTGTTCCTGGGAGGCTACTTCACGACACGGTAGATTTGTACTCGGCGGCCAAAGCGATGGTCATCTCTGATCCAAAGTAACGGACAGCACTTGCGGCTCTTCTTGATTTCGCGAAAGCTTACGATTCACTAGACAGAGGTTTCTTATTGCTTGTCCTGGAGAAGTTCGGATTTTCTCCTGGTTACATGGCAGCTGTGAGATATCTACACGATCGAACGTCAGCGCGACTTCTTGTCAATGGTTTTTCGTCACGCGCGGTGGACACAACGAGTGGGATCCAGCAGGGTTGTCCACTTGCCCCACTACTGTTCATTCTTGCTCTAGACCCATTGTATCGAGCGGTGGAATCGGCGGGCGAAATGGACGGCGTGCATCTCCGGTCTGGAACCAATCAGGGTTGCAGGTGTTTTTTTTTGGTTTGGGAATAAACCATTAATCC